TTTGAGATGCAGTGGTGTTGTTAGCTGGTTGTTCAGCTTTGGTTTTACATTTCGAATTGGGAATGCTCTCTTTTTTTTTACTCTCTAGTCATCTTTTGCTGAGTCAATAATTTGAAGTGTTCGATGTTAAGCTTCTTGCTACAGTCTTTGTTTAGATGGTTGTAAGTTCCAAAGTTGTAGAAGGCTGCAATGGGAGATATATCTGATTTATGTAGACATCTTAGTCCTTGGCTGCATGTTTTGGTGTTCTGCTTAAACGTTTGGTATACTTTTTCTTCATATAAAGCAGACAAGTTAGGGAAGTGTTTTCTTACGTGTAAACATATTGATTTGTAAGAGACATTATTGGAAGATTGAAGTGTCTATCATCTTTCAGTAATCAAAGCAACCAAAGAGAGGCTCCAACATATATATATATAATAAAAAAAACAAAAAACATGAGAGATCGGAAAGTTCCTAGATTTCGTCTTATATTATCGATGTTTCATTGGCAAAGAAGCTACACCAATGTTTGCACTAGCTAAAGCATGCTTAACCGTTCCCTTCCTCTAAACAAGTCTATTTTTAAATAAAATTTTATACAATTTGTTTACACATAGAATATTTTCAGATGGACTGCTCCTGCCTTTTGTCTAGTATTGGAGATGACATTTTGAACTCTGTATAACAATAAAGGTAAAATGTGTTATTAACGTAAATATGATGAGATACGTAGTAGAACTCTATAGATAGCATATGCCATTTTAATGAAAGGTATGACGTAAATGATATTCTAACATGTTCATGAACGAAATACTCACAGATTTTACACAAATAAAATTATAGTTTCAGGTCAGCTGACGTTACACTAATGGAAAGCGTATTGTTAATGAATGAATGTTCAATTTGTCAGAACTGATATAATCGTTAATGAAATTGAATCTGCTCATAATATATTGTTTTATTCTGTGGGCCAGGGGCTAGACTGTACTCTCCTGTGATATAATTATACATAAGTTGAGGATTTGGTACAATGGTTTCTACATATTAGTATAAACAGGGAGTTAATCTCCCCTTGAATAATCAATGACACTTAGTCTAGGACTACAGGCTACCACCAAGACTTTGTCCTTAACTGAAAATATGATATAGGTACAATTATTTCTATCTTCCTTGTGTGAAGAAGTTTCATATCTCTTCTCTGCATGATTGTTGTAATGTTAGTGAGAAGATGGATGACTTCATTAGTAAGTACCCAGTAAATAGTGCTTTTTAAGAGTTCCTAAATATTTGATTTTTGTTTTACACAATTATTTGGGCTTTTCACTTGCTGTCCAAGTTCATATTGCTTTTTGGAAACAAGTATTTTTGATCCTCGAGTTGGTTCTAGTTTAAGCAGAGAATACTACACGCTATGTTGTGCTACAGATTTGGTGCTGCAAATAAGGATTTATTATTTCAGAGTTTATTTTTGATGTGCTTTTTTGTTCTGTTGGATTCTACATTTGCTGTTAAGTTTGTAAACCATGAATATTGAAAGTTATTGAAGGCCATGCAGACCTTATGGTGGAGAGGAGAAATATGTAGCTGATGTGAGAGTGGTAAAGACTTGAAAAGGTTATTTTTTGGATAAAAGGCTCTCACCAGCAATGGTGACTCATTTCAACCTGTCTTTTTTGGCACATGACTGAAAGGTGTCAAAGGGAACAAGCTGTTGCACCAGCTTCACTTCTTCTAACTGTCTTATATAAAAGTATAGCATGGTGATGGTAATTGTGGTGGTTTGTGTGTGATACCTTGTCATTCAATGACCAGATAAAGCATTTCTAAGCACTGGCTAGGGTTGTCTGTGTCCAAGAGGTAAAGTACATGTGGTGAACAAAGTCTACCAGAAAAGTCCATGAAGCAAATATTTCACTCAAGGGTACTGCATTCTTCAAAATGGATAGCTCCAGATTTGTCGAAGAAGTGATTTCCTCGAGCAATAACAACACATCAGCTGCACAGCAATACTTATACATTCAATGAACAAACATTCAAAGAAATTTTATGAACTTGAATTTTAAGTTTACTATTGATTTGATTTACATATCAGGGGAGTTAAGCATCAACCAAAGCACAGTATCTCTTCCCTACAATTATGGAGTCCTTCGCAGCATGCTTGCCAGAGCAAAAACCAGGTAATATGGCATTGTACTTAATTCTGAACTACCAACCACAGGAAAGAAAATGGTCAGTAGCAATCACTTTTACTTTAGCAAAGTTTTTTTTTTTATATTGTATTAACACTACATTAATATATATGCTGAGTTCAATGTTACATTAACACATCTGTATTCAGATGCATATAGTTAAATAAGCAAGTAATTAACCTATATTTTGTCAGTAATTTAGTCAAATATTTGTAGGTGACAAAGAGCATCTGTAAAAGTGATCAAGTTCTTTGCAACTACCCGTGCTCCAGCAGGTGTAAACATATTTTGTACAAATAATTGGATTTAGATTGTGTTGTCCTCAGTATTGTGCTACGCTATATTGTAGGTTATTCTCCTCTTTATATTTCTGAATTTTCCAATGGAAGGTTTGCTGAAGAATTCCTAAGGCTCATACTAATAGGTTCTCTGAAGGAATCACCGACTACATAATTGGAAGTTTACAATTATTTATTACACTTATACACAAGTACTATTCTGAATAAATAAAATACATAAATGGAAACCAACAAGACCAGTAGTTTTTAACAAATTTGTAACTGAAGTAAACCACTCTTGTTAACACCTCATATGTTTCCTTTCTTGTGGTGTTTATTACATAGAATAAGGACATGAAAATCTTAACTTCCACCACAAGTAAAATTTTTTTACATTTTAAAAAATGAAATAATCAAGATAATTTTGGTTAACTCAATTGCCACCACATTTAATAAAAATAATATAAAGTTTTATGTAAAACTGTTGAGTCTAATTTTTAAAAATTTTGACTTTTGTGTCAGTAATTCATATATTTATGCATGAAATATTGATTTTTCACGCATTTAATCTCCAATAAGCTTTCCAAAATCTTTATTAAAACTTTACATTTAATGGCTCTTGCATCTTGGTATCATATGGATTGTACTATAAAATGTACCTGCTGATACATGAGGGGCTGAGAACTTAAGTTTTTGCGCTGTACCAGTGAAATCAGTCCAGCATCTTAATCTAATAATATGCATACTCAAAACATTTCTGAAATTAATCACTTTCTACAAGAAAGCTCTAATAAGGTCTAAGAAATAAAAAATTAAATGCTTATTGAACTAAAAATTAGAAGGTTAGACATTTCAGGCTTTAATTCTTTTGCTACTGACTTGGTAAAATACACTGACAACGTGACCCCAAAGTTACATCAGTTTCCATATTATAACTTTTAACATGTTTTGTGTATCTTCATAAAATTGTGCAAGCTTTTAGTAAACATTATAAGTCTTTTGTAGACAAAAAAAATCAGAATTTTTAAGCATTTTTAACAAAAATTTGTCCGTGTCAGAGTGTTAACTGCTTCGAGTACAAAGTGATTTTCATGTTATGATTAAAAATACTTCACCTGAAAATTTTCAAATTTCATTTGCATAACCTCCAAATCTTCCTAAATAAATATCAAACATTTTTTTTTTCTCAGAAAAACTTTATATTTTATCTGTTACTTTCTCTACCCTAATGCTATATGAGGATAATCAATATGACCACAACCACCCTAAAACTTTAAAGGTTGAAAAATGTGAAATGAAGTTAGTAGTACTGTTCCAAAGTTCTTCCCCTGAGCATTTCTAGTTCTAACCTTTTCACAATTATTTCCTATGTTTATTTTACTCTTAGTAGCTGAAGTAAAAAAATGTGCTACCATTAGACTATTTACATGATACCAATGGTAGCAAATAAGTTCATGTGGTGCAATTATCAAAACTTTTCCACAGAGTTTATCACATTCCAGCCTTGAGAACATGGTAGGAGAGGATTTATCAGCTTGTTTGTAGTACAGTGGTTCCAAGGAAATTTATCTAAAGTAATAAAAGTGCAAAAAAATGTTTACGACAAGGCTCTGTACAAAGTCCAGGATGATCCAATAAACTTGATAGGTATTTGGATGTTAATTATCCTCCCCGGGTGGTCATAATTTACCAGCACAGGTGTATAAAGTGTGTAAGTGCTTAGGAATATGTGCATTATATATATATATATATATATATATATATACACACACACACATATATGTAATTACTATTTACTCATAACTGCTTAAATTTTAGTTATTTTTCTTAAAACATAACACAATAAATAAAAAATATATAGAAAAACAATGATTTCTAGTAATTATGATGTTAAAAAATTGATTTGTACTTGTGCATTGCACTTGCAAAGCCTCACTGTAAGCCTTGTATATTCTCTAAAATGGAGGGGAAAAGACATTAATTTTTGTAGGTTTCAAAGATGCATTTTAGAAAACCAAAATAATTATCAAATTACTATACTGGTATAGATAAAACCACTGTAATTTATCTAGCTTTCTGACTAAGCTATATGTGTTAAAAAGAAATCTAATTTCTATTCAGAACAATAACTTATTCAACAGACTTCAAAATGTCTCATCATATACAAGTTCCCCTTCAAGCCAATTACAAATAACTATCAGAGTTATGTATCTCTAAAGTTGCTCTTTCTATTAGTTATAAATATGTACTTAATAAAAGTAGATATAAGTAGACAAAAGATTTCAAATGAATGGATTAATGGGATTAATTGCAAAATATATCAGTATCTCAACAAATCAAAAAAGTGAGAGATTCTTATTTGTATTCTAACTTTTAAAAATTTGAAGTTTGCATTTGTAATTTGCTAACCACTATAGACATTGTATGGTAGGTGTAATAAAATATAAACTGATCAATAAGAAAAAAAAACATATGACACAAAAAAAAACATATTTGGCATTTTTTTTAATACCTTCTTTCAAATTAAGAAATTAAAACTATATCAAAAGGTTAATTATAAACTATGTTGTGATGACAATATTATCGATATATAATTATAATAAAGTTTTTAATTACATTTTGAAAGTAACTCTCTAAAACATCACAACATGTGCCCTTTGGCCTATCTGTTGAGAGTTAATAGAGAAATGTATTAAAATTTTAAAATTCAAAAATGAAGCATTGAAAAAATTGAACAACATGCATATTATTATTATTATAACATTATTAATCACTTTAAAGATTAAATGCAAGCTACAAAATATACTGAGATAAGTGTATACCTATAAACCTGCAAGTCTGCATGAAAATAATAAATAACTGATTAATAATTTATACAATTCTTCATCTATAAACAAAGAACTAGAATTTTGTTTACAGCTTTGATACCTCACACCTGACCTCCAATTCTGTAAAGGATTGTATAAGTATTAAATCAATTAGCTACGTTATGTTTATATAGCAAAACTATATACTCAAAATTCAAGAGTTGTTGCTAAATATCATACAAAACAAGGAAGATTCTTTACTATGTAATCAAAAATAATAGACAAATGGACAATGAAATGTAACTGAAAAAGCCTTATATTTGGAATATATTCATTTAAATATCCCAATAAATATTTTTGTTAAATTATAAATAATTTAAAAACCTTGGCCTATCATTTTGAAGAAATACTCAACATTTTGGTGCACATTCTATAAATACACACAACCTTAAGCTTACCTAGTATATGATCATGTGAAGCTAGACATTCTCAAATGTATTATAACTTTAAATATGTGAATCCTTTATCAATACGGGGGTTTAGGCGTGTTATTATTATGGATCAACACTTCTGTTACTGTCCATACATAAACTAGATCTTTGACCACATTAATTTTTCCAGTTAACCGACTTATTTCATGAAACTGAAGGTAAATTGTTACACGTACTTTCTCATTTCAAATTCTTGAAGCACATAACATTTTCTTATCTAATACTACACGTAGTTCCGAAAACTACAGACTAAATCAGCTAGCAATTTTTGATTGTTTTATTAGATATTTGTTTCTCTCTAATCCATAACCATAAACACACAAACATTTTTAATTGTGGATACAAATAAATATTACTTGAGTTTATTTCAATATTATATTTTTAAAGTGATTATATTTTACTGGAGATATTATAATAGGAATGATTTCTTGTAAAATTTCTACTCTTGGTAAATCTTATATTTTCTAAAGTAAAATTGTTTAATAATATCCAGGATAAATAAGTAAAAACTGAAAGCCTTTACAATTTTGCTGGAAAATAATACTTTGTAAGAAACAGATGAAAATGTATACTTACATCCACAATTACATTAGCATCATAGTTTTTATAGGCATGATTTTGAAGCATGAAGGAATGTTTTTAATAAAATAAGGAAAACTTTCATGAAATAGTGTTTATCAAAACAGATAAAATTTCAGGAATAAAACACCATTCTGGTAAATAAATATACAAATACCACTTGTTTCAACTACATCATAGTTTCTGTTACCAAATTTAAAATAATGAGCAGAGATAATTCATAAATTATGCTGCAGAAAATTATCTATTTGCATGTGAGCAACTTTTATTAATGGAGGGGGGTCTATACATCCTTTTCTTTGTTTTTGTAACATTACAGTTGTTAAGACTGTATATTATATCTGTAAAATTAAGGAACTGTTTCTTTTTATAGTGTAACATTGTGTTATTATATGCATTTTCTTTTTAAGGGTATCAGTTGAGAATATTATACTTTAAATGAAAATTTTAAATATGACTTATTTGTTTACAAGCAAGTTAAAATAATCCTTGTCACTCAATAAATAACAAGAAAAATTACAATACTCTTAAAAATTAAATTGAACAAAGCTATAACACACTACAAATAATTCATACTCCTTTTATCATCCTTAATAATGACAAATCATAACTTTACTCAAAATCAATCAAACTTTTCCTTCAACTTCTTTTTAAATAGTACTGGAATCATTGACAAAAGAGCAAAAACAATTAGCACAGTTAGAGATGTCCAGGAGAAAGCATCACGAGATGAAGTCAACTGGTGCAGTGTTGTTCCAGCTTGAATTGCAACAAATGATGGAGGAGCCACACCTGAAAGTTATTCTTGTTTTGTTATTGGCTAAAGTTCAAAACAATGTTAAAAAAGAGAAACTTCACCTCATAAGACTAGATTGTGAACTTGGAATACCATTGAAAGTCCTAAAGCGTTCCCTTCTTGTGGTACATAAATACTAGTCTCTCAAACCAACTTGGTAGTTTAAGTGTTTTTTCTTTAAAAATCAGTACTTTAAAAGTTTAATCAATGTGATAACACTTTTCAAAATTATTACACTATTTTGCCCTTCAAGGTATGACACTTTAAAACTCTTACAAGTAATAAAAGCTACAAAAAAAAGAGCCACCAAGATAAAGGTTCTCTTCTAAAACATGAATGTGTTCTTAAAAATCAAGGTAATTAAACTAACTGGATAATTATGACAAAACATAAGGATGGTTTAAAGTTAAACATTTATACTAGGTCTATTAATAAATTAACTATATATATATATAATAAAAAAAGTTAAGTCCACTCATATTCAATAAATTGAAAATCTTATGTTTACACATTGGCTATACTTCAGAAAAATAACACAAATTTTTAATGAATGCAGAGCCATGGGATAAAACTTGCAAATATAAAGTATAATGGTTAACACTACTGTAAGGGCAAACAAAATATGTGATAAACATTATGTCCATATAACCTTCATTGGGATACCAACATATCTCGGTAAATATCTTTCTACTATTTTTATAATCCATACTGATCACAAACCTATGCATGTTGAAACTTTCAAAAAGTACTACATAGTGTAAAATTATTAAGGTAACACTAACCATTAAAACTGGACAAATTTACATGCTTTGGAAATGCTGTTAAACACTTCTTATAACCTTCAAGTTGAGCATAAAACAAAAGTATGAGGTCGCAATCTCTGAAAGTACACTTTCAGTTATATATATCATATACATAATTGATGAAGCAGGCTGAAAGAAATACATAAACTGTTTTAACACCATAGCTTTACCTAGAAATGGTAAAAACATGTGAAAATTGATATACATGCTCTTTGTGAACATCCTCATAGCTTGAATTAAAAAAGTTCACAAATTTTCTGCAACGTTAATGAGCTATAGGCAATTCATATTAATTATGCCATCATTAGTGGTAATTAGACTCATAACAAGACAACTGGTAAAGTGTGCTAAATTTTCATACTGATATTGGTTTTAATGGTGAAGTTACCATGCTAACTTATCGCTGGGGGTCACCAATGTATTAGCATGATAACTTCACCATTAAAGCCAATATCAGCATGAAATTTGTTACACTTGTTCATATTACATTGTTCCATAGCTTGAATTTTCTTAAATTCAAAAATCTTTACCAATTAATGTTGCAGAAAATTTGCAAGGTTTTTAATCCAAGCTATGAGAATGTTCACAAATAGCATGTGTATTAATTTTCACGCTTTTACCATTCCCAAGTAATATTATGTTTTAAAACAGTTTATGTCGTGTATTTCTTTGTCCCTGCTGCATTAATTATGCATATGACATATACGACTGAAAGTGTACTTTCAGAGATGACGACTTCATACTTTTGTTTTGTGCTCAACCTGAAGATTATAAGAAGTGTTTAATTGTTTCCTTAACATGCAACTCAGCAGGTAACTGTGCCTAAATAATAATGTTTAGATTTCAAAAAAAGAGCATACCTAGAAATGTTCCCAAAAAGAATGGTGCCAGTGGAACATCTATTACAGGAGAAGTGATGTTTATGAACCAATTAGGAAGGAAAGGAGTGATACGAAGAAATATTATATAGTTCAGAAGATGAGATCTATGTCGACTCACCTAGAAAAAAAGAAAGAATGTGTATTCTAAAATTTCAAATTCAGTGTCAAAAAATACTGGATAATAATTTTGTCTTTGAAAATCTTATAACTGAATATGTGATAAAACACAATATAAAAATAACAATAACTTAAAAAAAAAGTCACTTTACAACAGCAATATTAGTACCGAGACCACTAAAAGTATGCTAAAACAAAATTTCACTCACATGTCCTGCCCACTCTGCTGCTCGAACTGGTAGGTATTTCAAGACTAACTTACGTCCAACCAAATAAAAAAGAATATAACAAAAGGATGCTCCTAGAGCAGAACACTAAAAAGAAAATGGTCATAAAGAAAATTAGAAGAAATATTTCTTTTAATAAAGACAATGATAAAGAGCACAATATTAACAAAGAGCCTTTACTGACTTAAAAAAATAACCTTTACCAATTTTCCTCTTTATTGATTTTGTAACAAAGATGCTAATAACTTTAGAAATACTCACTTTATTACAAATAATTATGACTCAGATTAATGAATTCTAAAGCATCAAAATCTGATAGTTTACTTACCAAACATACCAATGTCAGGGCTAAAGGAAAAGGAAAGAGAAAACCAGAAAGTATACTTAGGAATATTGATCCTGGAATTGCAAATGACTGAAGACTGAAGAAAGTTAAGAAAAATCCAATAAAAAAATTATTGCAAAACGAATGTATTTTTTTCCAACAATCTCATAATTGTTCCTTGAAACCTTAAACAGCTGAGAAAAAGAGATATGAACTTAAAGATTATTAAGCAATTACTTCTATTACTAAAAGGATACAATATATAAGTGAGAAAGTAACCTCCAATAACGGTATAGAAATGATCACCCGTGTAACGAGAGAGAACTTTTCCTAAGTTTTTGGCATCATCAATGTTTTTTGGAAGCTTAATATGAAGTTTTTCATCTCTGAAAACATGTAAAAGAACAATTTCAAATAGTGTATCTGGTTATAACAACTTGCATTTAGCTCAAACAAATAAAGAATAGCTATTAAACTCTTAGCTGTAACCTACTTTCAGAAATCTGATATTGAACAACATTTAAGTACCACTGATCTGCTCATAAGTTTTACTTGAATAATGAAAAATTTTTATTATTGAACTTCATCTAATGTAGACATGTTTAAATAGTTAATTCCAAAACTTACCATGATAGACTTAAAAGATTTATATTAATGATTTGGGAAAGTGAGTACCTCATATATCATTATTATTTTACACAAATAACCTATATACTAGATGTACTTGCACAGGGTCCCTAAAAGTGTTCTCTTTCAAGAGTAAATAAAAGCAAAATTAAGAGCAACAAATATTTTATTTCTTCCTACTAAGTTCATATGTCATGCTGTGTTGTAGCCTACACAGTGCATATTTCTTCTCATGATTCATGACAAGCACACATTTTACTGACATCATCACAGTACAAATTGCAACGTTAAGTCATTTTAGTGTCTACTGCCTGACAGATTAACACTGTTGTATAGTAGTGCAAGTGGTTAAATCCTCTAGATGGCCTTCAGCCCCTTTTGGGGAAATGAAAGCAATACATCAATTATTACGCTTCTCGATTATAATAGTGACAGACCAAATATTGACATATCTTGACAAAAGATGTAAAATAATCTACAGTTCCTGTAGGAAATTCTATATTCATGTGACTTTGTTAACAGTTTTCAAAAATATCCATAAACAAAATTTGGTATACTTACTCCTGTAATTCTGGAAAGTTATAATAAACAATTCCCAAGCTCAAAAGAGAGGACAGAAAAATGGCTACCAAAATTGTAATTGCTTTTCTTGCACTTCCCTCTATCACTGTGTCCTTTTGAGTGAGTTCTGAAATAGAATTACACTATTGAAAATGTATCTTGAGAGATAAACCAATGAAAATGTGATTTGCTTAACAATGTTAAAAAACAACGACATAAATGCAGACAAAAACATAAATACCTTTGCAAATTTCCTGATGATAGTAACATGTTAGGAAGAGCTGACGCCAATGAAAAGGTTCTCTTATTTGAAGGAATCAAGTTAGTCATAATAGCTTGTTCAATATAAGAATCATTACATATCCTACTTGAAGTATGGAAGCTTGGAAAATATTTATTTTTTGTGTGACAGAAGCACTGGTGTTGTTTTGAAAAAAAGTTATACAAGCCTTAAGATGAATGTTTAGGATTCTTGGTACCACTTACAGGTATTTTGAAATTAAGAGTAAAAATATATAAAACCTTATATCAGACTGTGTTTAGGCCTCATGTGGAGTAAGCAACTGTATTCACTTTTGGTCTCTCTAGGCACTATATCTACATTTTAATGATGAAGAATTTGCAAGGAGAGAGAGAGGTTGCAATAAGTGGGTGCAATATCCAGAGGAGCTGGTGGACACATCCTGTAAGGCTAGAAGATGAGAGGTTCCTAGACAGAGAGGAGTCCCAAGGTAGAAACAAACAATGACAGGAACCCCAAAAGGAAGACATACATGCCAAGTAACACCAAACGGTCTAAACTGGACACAGCAGGTGATATAGGTCTGAAGAAATAAGAGTTGAGAAATCAAAGAGAGAGAAATAGGAAAAAAAAAGAACAATCACCTTCTCAAGCAGCCAACTTCTTAGGAAATAATGTCCAGCTGGGATAGAGAAGGAGGAATGTATGGTGACAAGAGTAGGAGACAAATTGATGGCATAAACATTTGAATGAGAATGACCATGGGTAAGAAGGAGAAGGAAATATGTCTTCAAAGAAAGATGGTATAAGGAATATAAAGTTTAAGGTTCATACAGAGCATGTAAAATCACATTAAAGTTCCAGTCAGGCATGGGAGCAAGAAAAAGGGGTTGATGAAGAAGAAGAAAGGATCTGAACAAATTGGAGAGGACAGGTAAGAAACAACCCAGCAGTAATGAGAAAGGCAAAATGTAGTTGACAAAGCCACCCAATCGGTAGTAATGGTGGAAGCTGACAATCCATGGTTGAACAACCACGTGAAAAGGGTTAAAAAGGCGGATCACAGTAGGACGGCCTTGATGAAAGGAGAGGTAGATGGAATAACATTGAAAACCCACCATTCTGTTGAGACAGACAGAGCTGAAAGATGATAGAACTGGGATAAGAAAAAGGATACACAGTCAGAGAGGCTAGCCCTACAGTCAATAGACTGGACAAATCCTGTACAGAAAAATAAAGGGATGACATTTCTGGATGAAAGAGAGACATGGGGCAGAGGAAGAGGGGGCCTGAATGTCAATCGTCAAAGCTGAAGAAACTTGGCTCGTTCCAGCCAAAGAGGCACCACCAACAGGACCCAACAAGAAGCATCACATATCAAAGTGAGGACATGTGGGAGAATTGAAACCAGTCCAATCAGAGCATTGACTGAAAGGGCCAAAGGATGAGGAACTGAGGAAGTTCAGTGTTAAGATAAGTGGTGAAGACAATAATTGGAGATGTGCCCAAACGAGAATAAACACAATGAAAAACCTTAGGGTGGAGAGACCACTCTATAGGCAGAATCCTGTATAACTGAGAAAGGTGATCCACCACCAAGTTCAAAGTCCCCAACATATGACATGACAAGACAATGAGAATGAGACCAAAACAGCAGGTCAATGTGCAAAAGCAAACAGTCCTGGAATGGGTACCTCTAATAATTGATATAAGAAATGACTGTGGAGTTATCAAAGTGGATCATGACAAGTCAATCCATGAGAAGAGGGAGAAAATGGTAACATGCCTAACAGATGGCAAGATGTTTGAGTAAACTGATTTGGAATGAATGCTCCTTCAAAGCCAACACACCCAAAGTCATGTTGTCATTCAGATACATCCCAGCCCAACAGAGAAGCATCTGTGAAGAGATGGAGATCCAGTTCAGGTGGTAGCAAGGGGATTTCCACCATGGTATTGGCATAGTTGAATTACCAATATAAGTATTTGAGGAGTGGGAAGGTGTACAATCAAAGACAATGGATCCGAAGAAACATTCAACTAGTCCTGCAATGTCTACTGGAGGAGGTGTATACGTGCATGGCCTAAAGGATGAGTGATTTCAGGGAAGACTGAGTTCTCAAAAGCAAAAGAAACTTGCATACAGGATATAAATGACAAGCACAAATTTTGGTAACAAAACATTCCATTGATCGTAGGTGAAGTGGTGAAGGCTGAGCTCAACTGATATGGGAATTGAAAACACACCCTATTGGGTAGGCATGAGAAAAAACTTGGAAAGCTGAACAAGCCAGCACAGCTGACCAGTCTACCATAAAAGAACGCAGGTGTAATAGAAGTAGTCTTCCTTAAAAAGGAGCAAGGAGAAACAAGTTCTCCATATAATAATGGAACCTCAGCCCTAATCAATAAACATTGTGGGTAATGTCCCCACAACATGACTGAAAATATAAGGAGCAAACACAATACCAAAAGGATGAGTAGAAAACTGGAAGACATGATCTCAATAATTAAAATGAAGAAAACATCTGGAGAACAGGGCAATTGGAATGTGTAAAAAAGCATTGGAAACACTGATCTCAGTCATCTATAGTACAGGCGAAAAGAAACCTTCCATACAGAACTGAGGGGTGACAAGAAACAAGTTGAGAGATAATAGGTTGACAAACAGACACCAGTTTCTAGCCTTCTTGGGGATCACATAAAGATGAGAATAATAACATGGAGTTGGGATAAATACTCTCTTGATGGTATTTTTGGACAAGAAAACTGAGACAGCATCCTCAAGATGCTGAAGATATATGTAATCAGAGGAGAGAGTAAAAGTTGGTGGGTTGGTTTGGGGGGTTTTCTCCACAGATAAAACTGTATTAGAGCATATTCTGGTAGGGGAATTAGCTGTCCAAAATCATCATTATCTTAGTCATATTCAAAATGGAGAAAATGCACATGGGTTAAATAGATGAGAACAAAAGGCCCAGTATGCATGAATGAACCCTCAACATGTTTAGACAACCAGCCCCCAGTAGCAAAAGGTCCCATATTGGTAACATTGTCACTATTATGGAATGAAGTGGATGTTATCATTGAGAAATCATAATATTGGGAAATCATCATACGTTGTTTTTTTTTCCTCTAAGTGAAATTAGATAAACTACACTGGTTATGTAAAAAATGAATATTAAACAAGGTAAACTTGAACAAAAGATAACTCAGTTATAATTAATTGTAAAAATTGCAATCTCAAATAATTGATAAACAATTTTAAAACACATCCATTATAAACAATGGCAAGGGAAAGCTAATGAGTAGGAAGGCTGTGTTGCCCTCCTATCAATTGAGGGATATTGTAGCATGTTGTAGACAGTTCATGTTAAACATGTTTTTTCAGGTAGATGTGTGAAGGAATCAAGCTGTTCTGTGTGTGGAGGCATCATCTTGGAATAATTCCATCTGTGGAATATATTTGGAAGTTATGTTTGTACTTGATAAGCTGAGAGCTCTTTGTCCTTGTACACTTGTATAATGGTTTTTTAGAGAACATGGAGTACATAGGGAAAATATAATTAATAACAAAGTTGAAACTAATACGAAGCTGAATACTTACAAAATAAGTGATATCTCAGATGTTCAGAAATATAATGAGCTTGAGTTGAGATCCATAAAACAAATATTCTACATGAAGTATTTGTACAAGTAAGTAGAATAAGCAATTTTGGTTATAGTTAAATGTATATCACTAATAAAACCAAGTCTTAGTGAAATGAAAATTATGAAGATGTTATTTTAGAGGGTTTAAGGTTTTTCATGGGGACTGTGCTTACAGTGGGGGTGGGTGAGAAACTTGTCTGTAATTAGTAAGAAATATTATGCGAATAAGAAAAGTGATAACAATGAGGTTAGCAAAAATGTAGTGTGTGTCTGAAATGTGACTGTCTGCATGGAGACTTTTGAAATATATAAAAATAATAGCATTTTGGTATTACTTACAGACATTCTGGTCAGGACAATGACACAGGAATATGAACATGTACAGTCAGATTGGCTATGGTGCCAACAGAAACACATTATTACTAAACACTTCAATCTTGGGGAAATATAATAGGTATGTCCACATTCTCCATATGATGCTAAAGAATTTTTTGAAATTTTGAGGTACAGTATTCTCACACAGCATGCGACAGTTTATACAAGGAAATATGTATTAGAACTTTTTCACTAAAAAGGATATGACTCGAAATGTCATCATCTAAACTGACTTGAGTACTATCATTAAAGTTTAAACACATTATTAATTTTCATGTGTTTATTGGAACCAACATTAAAGTAAGATCAATATCTCCAATTTTAAAAATTCTATTTCCAGAAACTACAAGCACTGACTGATGCAAATAAGCAATGATTTACCAATTTAACAATCATCCAAGATGAATATAGCATTTGACATTTTATTCCATGTAATTATGTTTCATGCATTTGTCTGTAACAACGTAAGCTTGTGCACATGTGTGTACAATTTGTATGGCATGTTCATTGTTCTCATCAATTACAACTTTTATTTTTCCCTTGCATAAGTTTAAGATTGGCAACTACTAATACCATGTAATTATAATAAGCAATTAAAGCATGCAAACTATGCTTGTTTAGTTACTACTGAAATGACGTACTTCAGTCAAAAGTACATGTATGAATATAAGGATTGAGCAATTACTTTACAAGTTACAGCAATTAGCATTTCAAAGTAAACTTTTTCCAAAAGTGAGATACCCATGAAAATAGCATTTTGCAGTTTTTATACTAAAAGTGTACCATTCAAATGCACTAAGGTTTAATCTTTTTAATGCCTCGTCGGCACTGCAACGCAGATAATGATATGATGAGGTTGACATACGAGTTAATTATTATTATTATATTCATCTTTACTTTCAGTTTCACTCGTAATTTCTTATAAGTTGTACTGTTATAACTTATAGAATTACTTGTACTTATAACTAGTACTACTGGTAATAGTTATGAACAAATGATAATCATCGTTTTTAAAGTACGATTGAATTCACAATCAGCAATTATAATTTTATGTACATACTTGACAATTCGGTGGTTGCTGTAAACATTTCTTTGACATTATCTGAAGAATTTGCGCATTCTTCAGCATTTCCTTCTTGTCCCTTCAAATTCAATCTGTCACCCATAATCTTGTAAGACGCCATGATGATGTAATTATAAGTGCTGCCATCTGTATAAATTGTTATAATTTCTGAATATTAATAACTGTATTAAATAGTAATATAAACAAATTATATAAAGTGCATATATTTTCAATAATAGGATTTCAAGTCAAGTTTAAGTCTCAAATAATACCAAAGTAAGCACAATCATCACATTAAGTCATTACCAAATACACATGGAATTATTAATAAATAAATAATCCAGCAGGTGCAAGGTCGAGTATAGGGGTATTCTTGTGTGCAGTTGATCACAAATTGTGCCCTTATAAAAATATTTGTTTAGTTGAAAATTCACCTATATAAGTAAACCCAAGCGGATAAATAATAAAAAACATATTTAAGATTATAAAATTACATTTTAGAGTTGATAAATAAATGAATATTCTTCATTTTTTGGATAATTTGTTACTAGGCCTGTATATATGAGGTGCTATAAGGCGTCATATATGAAAGGTTTTGTTTGTTTGGAATTAAACACAAAGCTACACAATGGGTTATCTGTGCTCTGCCCACCACGGGCATCGAACCCAGGTTTCTAGCGTTGTATGTCCGCAGACATACCGCTGTGCCACTGGGGGGCACATGTATTAAAAATAATGAATATTGTTACGACAGCGGAGGTCACGTGACCTAGTACCACGTCACGCACTTCTAGAACGTTCATGAAGCGTCGGGAGACTACTAGATATGCGGTAGTCTTGTATATATAAGACCGGTCAAGAAGCGACGGCAACAATGTGTAATTGAACTGCGGACCTAGAGAGAGAGAGACGTTCGTTGTGAATTATAGCGTTTGTTATAGCGCGACAGTGGAAATTAAGTGTATCGCAAAGTTGTATTCAGAAAGAATAAACCAGTTTTATTTAAGAAAGGATTTGTATCGGTAAAGTTTCTTCGGAAAGAATTTTTACGGAAAATTAACTAACGAACGGAGGCGTAACAAATTGTTGTCAGAGAGAAAAGAAACAAGAAGAACGAGAAGAGAAATTACAGCAGTTGTTGGAGGAAAAAGAAAAGAAACAAGAAGAACGAGAAACGAAACAAGAAGAGAGATTACAGCAGTTGTTGGAGGAAAAAGAAAAGAAACAAGAAGAGAGATTACAACAGTTGTTGGAGGAAAAAGAAAAGAAACAAGAAGAGAGACAACAGCAGTTGCAAGAAAACCTGCAACAGTGGCAGCTCGAACAGCAAAATAAACAAGAAGAGAAATTACAGCAGTTGTTGGAGGAAAAAAAAAGAAACAAGAAGAATAATTACAGCAGTTGTTGGAGGAAAAAAAAGAAACAAGAAGAGAAATTACAGCAGTGGCAACTAGAACAAAAAAGGAAACAGGAAGAAAGTCAGCAGCAACTACAGGAAAGTCAACAACAGTGGCAAGAAATACAAATGGAAAACATTAGTAAATTTAAAAGCGAATTAGACACATTAAAGGATGTGTTATGCCTCCGTTCGTTAGTTAATTTTCCGTATAATTTCTTTCTGAAGAAACTTTAGCGATACAAGTCCTTTCTTAAATAAAACTGATTTATTCTTTCTAAATACAACTTTGCTATACACTTAATTTCCACGGTCACGCTATAACAAACGCTATAATTCACAACGACCCTCTCACGTGCTCAACAATACGTCTCTCTCTCTGTCTGCAGTTCAATTACACATTGTTGCCATCACGTCCTGTCCGTCTTATATGTACAAGAATACCGAAATCTAGCAACCTCCCGAAGTTTCATGAACGTTCTAGAAGTGCATGACGTGTTACTAGCGTCACGTGACCTCCGCTGTCGTAACACTGCCCCTTCCTTAGTATTGATCGTCCCGAACATTAGC